TTCCATATAAAACTGCGTTGTCTATGTAAATCTAGGATTCTTTGTTCAGAAAATTGTGAATACCTCAAAGTTTTCTTAGAAGATTTATCAATTTTATTATTTGTTGTTATAATAGACATATTCAAGTAGAACATACCCAAATTATAGCATTTTACTAAAAATAATAATTATATGAACAAAATTCTTAGAAAAAAACTCATTTATACGTAGTTGTTCCAAAAGAAGTAATTATTACCCTCAGTGTTACATAGTTTATTCTAGAATACTGTAATCTGCATATGTTATATTTAAATATGTTTGCTATTATAACAAATACTAAAATCGATAGGTTTTATAGCAAATTTTCGAGATTTTTATAATTATAAGAAAAATGTACCCGCGAGCCACTTTGTTAGATTTAAACTTTCATAAACTAAAATGAAGGGTTGTAAATTTCAAAAAATTTTTTTTGGTCCTAAATGTTATGGCTTGTTGTATTTCAATATGTCTACTATTACAGCAAATACTAAAATTGATGAGTTTTCTTGAAAAATTTCAAATATTTACTTTCTTATAAAAAAGTATTTCCTTCCATGTCTAGGAATGTATTTTAAGTAAAATTTAGAAATTCATAATAACTTTTGAATTTGATACTAAACGTTTTAAGTACAATATGCTATACTATAATATGTCTACTATAACAATAAATACTAAAATCCATGAGTTGTCTTAAAAAATTTCAAGATATTTGCTTTTTATAAAAAAGTGTTTCCATTCTAGGAATGTATTTGAGTAAAACTTCAACATTAGGGGTTGTCATAATCACGTGAGCGAGTTTTTGAGGATTTTTGGACCCCCCCTCCTCCTTGGTGATACATGGTGATATTTAAATTCCCCCCCTCCCCCATCAAACCATCACGTGTATTTTTAGTTACGTGAAAAAACTGTAAAGTTTTTGATTTTTTTTTTAAATTTGATTTTTTTTTAAAAATCAGTTCAAAAATAAATACGCGTGATATCTTACTACACCCCTCTCTCCCCCACGTGATATTTCGTGATTTTTTGTCTGACCCCCCCCTCCCCCTAAAAACCTCACGTGATTAATGGACGCCCCTTATACGATATAATTTATCTACGTGTTCAGAGAACATGGTTTTGAATTGTTTGGAAAATTACGAATTATTAATATATTTGATTTAGAACGTTTTAAGTATAATATATGCTATACTATGACTATATGTCTACTATGAAAAAAATTAGTAAAATCTTTGTTTTATCATAAACTTATGAGATAGTAACTAATACTCAGTGCACAGTGCACAAGGCATTGTCCAAGAATGTTGTAACTTGAATATGTTGTACTTAAATATGTCTACTATGACAACAAATACTAAAATTGTTATGTGTTCTTATAAAATCTTGAGATATTAACAAATTTCTTAAACAAGAACTTCGTTTTTCACACTGAACATGGAAGAGCAAAGTAAATATTATCATCAGTGCACAAAAATTCTTCTACCTACTTTTATATGTCTACTATAATAACAAACACTAAACTAACAACTTCAATACTAAAATTGTCAAAAGCACAATCTTTTATATAAAATTGCACCAAAAACATTATTTTTCACTGTCTACTATTTCTTAACAAATTGTTCGATGTTAGTACGACTTTTTCCTGTTGTAATTTTCCAATATAATTTATTACCAATTTGTCCAATTTTAGTTAGACTTTTTCGTGTCTATATGTATATTTGCAAACCCTAGTATAGATTTTATATTTAGACGTCCGTCTGTCTATACGTCTGTTTAAGACGTGTGTAAAAGGCCATTAGATACATTAAGTTTGTAATTAACTAGAATCCAACTCGAATCTTATTAACGCTAGCTAAATCAAAGACTGCGAACAAATTCAACACTATTCAGACTTACTAACTTTGTAAACAAGATATATATATATATATATATATAATATATATATATATATTATATATCGTCGTTTGGTTTACCAAATTAATTGTTTGCACTGGGATTAGATTTATATTGGGGAAAATAGCCAAAATTAAAAAAAAAACTATGTTTACAGAACACATTCACACAATAAAACATAACTTGGATTTTTTTAACTTGGATTCATTTTATACTATTGACTTTATTAATTTTATATTTTTTAATGGCTGTAGTACATTTGTGTTAATGAGGGCGTTTAAGGTTGTTTTATTAGTATAGTAATAATAGTACTAGTTTCGTGTTAATAGCATTAAAAGTATTAGTTTTGTATTAATAGTACTCTTGAGGCATTCTTGAGGTATGTCATCTTTTAGGTAAATTATAATTTTAGCGAAAAACTTCCAATTACAAAATTTGAAAAGAAAAGATTTGTCTAGTATTTTTTGTTTTTGAATAAATCAAGTCAAGGTGTAGTAGAATCTTGTAGCTATATAATTAGAATATAGTTTTCCAAAGTGTCAAAACATAAAATTAATAAAAAGAAAATGAAAATTATAAAAATATGATATAAAAATAATGTAGAAAACAAAAACATAAATATTAAGTTTTTTATAAAATTTGTGATTGTTAATTAAATTTTGCTAACTGTCGAATAATAACGATGATGAACTACGTTTGATAAGTCAAGAAGAATTTAGAAAAATGAAACATGATTCATCAAATTTCCTAATCTATTTTTTTTGTAAAGAATTATTATAATGAATTTATTTACGTGTTCAGAGAACATGTTTTTGAATTGTTTATTTATACATATATTGGAAGCTTTTACCACCGTAACGTATCGAGTATTTGCTGTCATAGTAAACATATTAAAGTACATTGTATCCAAATTGTAACATTCTAAGACCAACAAAAGTATTTCTTAAAATTACAACTTTTCTACTTTAGTTTGTGAATATTTTTATCCAACAAGGTGGCTTTCGTGTTTTTTTTTTCATATGAGAGTAAAATATCTAATATTTATTGGGAAACATATCGATTTTAGTATTTGTAGTCATAGTAGATATAGTACACAATATTCAAATTATAACATTCTAAAATTAACAATATTTTAAAAAAAATACAACTTTTCCACTTTAATTTATGTGAATTTTCATCCAACAAACTGCTATTATGTATTTTTTCTTAATATTATAAATATTTCGAATATTTGTTAAAAAACGTATCGATTTTAGTATTTGTAGTCATAGTACACATATTAAAGTACACCATATCGAAATTTTAACATTCTACAACAGAAAAAAGTATTTTTTAAAAATTGAACAGGATTCATCAAATTTCTTAATGTTTTTTTATAAAGAATTATTATAATGAATTTATTTGTTCGTGTTCAGAAAACATGGTTTTGAATTGTTTGGGAAATTTTGGATTATAAATATTTTGGCCTATTCTCTTATAGATATATTGGAAGCTTTCTCCAACGTAACATACATGCAATCGTTGCAGTTTATTTTGTAAATGGAACCTGTAATTTTTTCTTTAAGTGTTTGAGAATATACACACATATATATATATATATATATATATATATATATATATATATATATATATATATTCAAAAAAAATGTGAACAACCAAGACATACTTAAAAAATAGACGTGCAAGGTGAGGAAAAATATTGTACAAGGAGATTATATTTATGTATATATACATGTATATATGTACATATACATATGTATACATGTATATATATGTATGTATATATAAGTAAATATAATGTATAATTTATAATGCGTATAATGTTCATGAAATATGATCTTTTGTGGTAAATTTTATTCATTAGACTTTCGTTACTATATAACACGTCGAGTGTGACGGTTTTTTGCGGTCATGTTTATATATACATAAACCTTATATATAAATATACATATATACATGTAAATGTATATATATATATATATTATATATATATATATATATATGTACAGGGTTGGCGTATATATAAATGAAAACTTAACTGTTGGTTTGCTTTATAAAGTATATAAACTTTTATGTATACTTTGTAGATAATTTTTTATTTTTGTACTAAGAAAATTTTATTTAATACAAAAGTTTGTAATGCTGAAATTCGGTTATGTCATACTTCAATATGTTTATTATAACAACAAATACTAGAATCGATAAATTTTCTCACAAAAATATGAGATATTCACAATTTTCTTACAATACCATATTTTTCATTAGTGTATAAATCGAACTAAATTTTTCTCTGTCCAGCAATTCTCTAACTTGCATATGGTATACTTAAATATGTCTTTTATCCAAATACTAATACCAATGATTACCCAATAGTTATTTATATTTTTCAACGATTTCTATTACCAAGCCCTGGTGGTCTGAATGATTTTGAGTGATGCAACTCTCGTGTAATAAATCAGACGACTAAAAACCTCAATATTGCTAAATGCTAATTTATTAACATCGAAGAAGAGATAAGTAATAAATTAATAATTTACTTTACTCTACTTTGAAAAATGTGCAAAGACCATCGATGTGTATGGTTAACGCATAAAACGATGCAAAATACCATTATTTTATTATGCAGCTTAAGAGGGAATAAAAATATATAGGTGGTACAAAAATCGAGGGAATTGGACGAGGAAGTAGAAGGTTAAGAGCGCGATGGTGTAGTATATGATTGTGTATAAATATTTTTGAGTGTGTAGAGTGTGCATAAATGTGTAAATGTGTGTTTCAACGTGAAAATGTGTATAAATGTGTACAAATGTGTGTTTATTTGTGTTTAAGTGCAGAATTAAATTTGGAATGAAAATGGCGGTCGACGCTAAAGTAACGGATGCTTTAGTAAAATTAATGGCTTTGCTGCATTTGTACTAACAATGATACAAATGTATGTATACATACATACATACATACATACATATACATACATACATACATGCATGCATACATACATACATAACCCACTAAAGAAGAGTCAAATTGTGACACAAAACTTATGGAACAGTATTAAAAAAAACACTAATTCAACCTGCATAAATTTATTGTTTTTAATTATTAATCGATGTTGTTTTACCTTTCAAAAGTTCAACGATTTCTGTATGTCCCTTTTCGGCGGCAAGGTCCATTGGCGTCTTATAATTTCTGTTTACTATGTTAGGATTTGCACCTTTGTCCAACAATAGTTCGACGATATTTTTGTGACCAGAATTGGCTGCTGAGTGCATTGGAGTCCAATAATTTTCACCATCAGCATTGATATTGGCGCCTTTATTGATAAAAAACTGCACTACTTCCAAGTGGCCATTTTGAGCCGCTAAGTGCAAGGGATTCCAAGTTTCTCTGTAAAAATCATAGATCCGGGCGCCATTATTCATCAAAAACTTGACAACATCTAAGTGACCGTTATACGCTGCAAAGTGCAATGGTGTCCATTTTCTTTTATTTATACTATGTATATGTAAATTGACATTTTTAGTTGTCATAAACTGAACAACATCCAAGTGACCATTTCCAGCTGCTAAGTGCAATGAATTACTACCTCTGTTAGTAACAGCGTGTACTTTGGCACCTTTTGTAACTAAAATCTGAACAAAATTCAAGTAACCCCTACGGGCTGCCAAGTGCAATGGAGTCCAATCATTGTCAGTAACAACATCGATATTGGCGCCGTTACTAATTAGAAACTGTGCAATGTTGAAGTGACCATTTGCTACTGCAATGTGCAAAGGTTTATACAAATTTTTATTAACAGCATGGATATCGGCGCCTTTAGTTGCCAGATACTGGACAACCTTCAAGTGACCATTCTGAGATGCCAAGTGCAATGGAGTATGATTGTTTGCAATAGCATGTACATTAGCTCCTTTGCTAATAAGAAACTGCACCACCTCCAAGTGGCCGTTTTCAGATGCAATGTGCAATGGAGTGCCACGTGTTTTGGTGATAGAATTGACATCGGCACCTTTTGCAATCAAAGCCTGGGCAACATTCAAGTGATCCTTACACACTGCTATGTGCAATGGTGTCCAATTGTCTTTATCAATAGCATTGACATTGGCGCCTTTACTAATTAGAAACTGGACTACATCCAAGTGATTATACGAAGTTGCAATGTGCAAAGACGTTTGTCCTTTATCAGCCTTAGCTTCAATATTTGCACCTTTGTCGATCAATAGTTGAACTACATCTTTAAATCCATTTGCAGCCGCGCAATAGAGTGGCGTAAACTTGTTCTTATTTTCGGCATTTATCTCTGCTCCCAGACCTATCAAAGATTGAACCCTTGCTACATGTCCATTGTATGCTGCGATGTGCAAAAGAGACCAATTATGATTGACAATGCAATTTATTTTATCATTCCTGTCTGATAAAGGCCTAAATACTGTCTTATTTTTATTTTTAGCTGCGTTATATGTTTCATTGTCTTCAGCTCTTATTATTTTTTGAACATCACTTTGACCTAGAAACAAAATCTACTGTTATTTTATGTTTGTTCAAACATTTGTTCTTATTCTTGTTCTTTTTATTAAAAAAAAAATAGCAAAAAAAATTTTTACATGTTACTTTTTGAGAAGGTCCCAGTTGGTTCAATTTATCCACCTGGTGGTTGCCCAGGTGGGCCTCCCTTTGAATTGCCATTCTCCTGACGACATCCAGAAATGTTTTACCTTCCTTGTTGACGACATCACTGATCGCTCCGTTTTTCAGGAGCAGATGTATCAGTCGATCGGAGTTTTTCTTGGCGCCAATGTGAAGGGCAGTGTCACCATCGTCGTTCTGAGTATTTATATTTATTTGCCACCTCTCCATTAACAATTCTCGGACAATATCAAAACTGTCTTCTTCCACGGCACAATGTAGGAGTGTGTTATTTTTACTGGTTTTATCTGTAATGGTCTTTGGATGGACACGACAGTACGTGAGCAGACGTTCAAATTTTGGTAAATTGTTGTCCTTGATGGCCTGGAAGATTTGCTCATCTAGTGCTTCCTGGGTTGGCAGAGTACTTGTCATTGTGGATGAAAAACTTGCATTTACTTGGATGTATTAACTGATCTTTGTGGATAAAAAACTCCTGCACCGTTTTCTTAATTTACCAACTAGTGTTTTTCAATTTGGCATTGAACAATATGCCAAGTGCATTGCATTTACATATATCAATTGCATTTATCATTATCTTATCAATTGCAAGTTATGGATTGATAAAAGTAAGAAAGTCAGTGCTTGCCAAGGTACGCAGTGGTGGCCAAAGCCTATTCTTGTCATTTGCGACTAAAAATCCTTAACCAAAGGAACCTAGTAAATTTTATTTGGTGTTTTTTATATTATATATATATATATTATATATATATATATATACATACATGCAAAATATTTAGAGTGCATCTCGTTAAGTGTCCAGACGATCCGTGACAATAATGACTCAATGTCACTTTGTCACTTGTCACATTAGATACATATATACATGTATGTGCATATATTTATATATATATATATATATATATATATATATACATATGTAAAATCAAGTGTATATATTTATGTCTCTTTAATTAAAACGAGAAACGGTCGTTATCACTTTTAAAAATCTTTTTTACAAAAGGATTTTTCAATTAGCACTCATTTTTAGTTCTCAGAAAAAAATTATATATATTTATATATCATATATGTATATATATATATATATATATATATATATATATATATATATATATATTTGCACATGTATATATACAAATCTTTAGTTCAAAAAACGATTTTTGTTTTGTTTTTTTTTTTTGCTCAAATATTTATATACATTCTTTAATAAATGACAAAATGCTGATTAATATGTTCAAAATATTTTCGAAACGTATATATTATATATACCATCATATAAACAATATTATACCATCAAGTTCCATGACGTAACGGTTAAGCGCACTGCCTTGTGTGAACATGGTTGTGAGTTCGAGCCCTCGCTCTGAATACCCTGATATCATGCAGAAATGATATCAATTTTTACTTGAAAGTGTAGATCAAAACTATGTTTCCTATAGAAAATGAGCCCATTTTGGGCACTACGGTGTGGAACGGCAATGGAATAGCTCTCATACTATTTTTTCCTGAATCGTGTTAGAGTTTAACTTAGTTCACGGACCTGCCTTAGGGCAGTACTACCTCCTTTTTTTAAACTCTATATAATTGTAGAGTTTAATTCATTTATGTATATTTGAATATATAATATATCAAATGAGACCAAATTTGCAAAATTTTCCTTCCAAATTTCACAAAAACTGCTGGACTTATTTAAAAAATTTGAATGCCATACCTTAGAAAAAATTGGTGAATGTGTGTGTGTGGAAGAGAGAGAGAGAGTATGTGTTTGTATGTGTGTGCGGATACAATGTTTTGACGACGATTTCGAGAACACATTTGAATGATTCAAAAAACATTCGATTCCTATTGATAAGGAGACGTGCTGATTAGTTTTTGGCAAAGGCAGGTCTAGCCGTTTCGAAGTTACGGGGCAAAAAGTGCCAAAAATGGTATGTCTGTTTTTTAGTGAACGTAGCGTGCGACTTGAATGATTCAAAAAACATTTTACTTGTATTAACAAGATGAAGAACTGATAAAATTTTCATGAAGGCAGGTCTAGCGGTTTCGGAGATCTAGTAAAAAAGTAAAAAATAATGCCATTTGTCGGTCAAAAATGATCATTAGACATATGCACATCAAATTATCAGATTTGTTATAGAAATTATAATAATAAGTACAAATTTTGTTTACATTCCTATGAGTTCCGTACCAATGTTTATCCGTTAGACGACAACGCGGCGCTCACGCGCTTCGATGTTTCTCGAAAACAGCCACGCACATGATTGCTTTGAAAAAAAGTTCAGAACTTCCAAAATATTTCAAAATAAAGGAAACATTATTTTTCAAAAAGTCAAAAAAATATTTTTTTCTTCAAAAATTTAGTTTCTAAAAATGTTAATCTTTTTGAAAAAAATAATTTTTGGTACGGAAAGTTCCAGCAATTTGCCTTAAGGCACGATGCCATGCGCCCCACTAGTGTCTTTTTAAATTCTTTATATAAATTTTAGTTTCCAGTACGGAAAGTCACAGCAATTTGCCTTAAGGCACGATGCCATGCACCACTAGTCACAATTTTTTTACCCTAGTCCCTCTCTGTTCTTCGGCGAATTTTAAATATTCAAATAACAACCCGATGATTATTTTAGCAAAGACATAATCGTGGAGGACAAGTCCACAATTTATCCTCTCTGTATATACATATATAATATATCTTTGGAGATGTGGAGTTTTTCTTAACAATGACATACGTTACATAATCGGCCTTTTTGTTTCTCGGCAACGGCGGCAAATTTTAAATTACAGACTTTCGGCCTCATATAGGGACATATACGATTACAGGGCACACGACGAGGAATTACCAACAACAACACACGTCGACGTCATTATTTAAATATAAATATTTTAAATAAATTATATTCTTAACAGATGAGGAAAGAATTGATTTTTAGGTGTAGACTATTGGCTAGTTGGAAATATTTATGAATTTAACCCTTTCTACTCGCGAATTGTAGAACTAATACATAAGTATTTTGTTGCCGTAGCGACAAAATTATCCGAGTGGAAAGTATTAATTTGTAGGAGTTCTTTTGTTTATTGGCAAGTTGCTAAATTTTCAAAAGTTTCGAGTTACTTATGAAGTGAGATAAGTGAAGTAAATTTTAGGCGCTAATTCTCCGATAAAATAGACTATAACATAGCGTTGTTATGGCAACGCCATGTTACGGTCCTTTTTTTTATAAAAATTGGTAGTAAAAACTGTCAAAATGCTATGTACTTGCTGTTCAGTGAGGCGTTTTACACATAGAGGAAGTAGAAGAGAAAGACAGCAGATCTTATTTGCTTACGTTAGTCAATGACAGAGTGAGAAAATAAGAACTTTTAGGAACAAAGTCGATTTAAGTAAAAACTAGTGGAGCGCATGGCATCGTGCCATAAGGCAAATTGCTATAACTTCCCGTACCAAAAAAATTTTTTTTTAAACACTCACCTTTTTGAAAAAAATTTTACTCTGAAAAATTAGGTTCTTGAGAA